CTGAGGGGGGGCGGGGGGCGGGGCTGAGACGAGAGCCCTGAGCTGGGGGGCGGGGCTGGAGATGGCGCTGCCCATTGGCTGGTGGCCAGTGGCTTGTGCCTGTGGCCTGGCGCCTCAGCCAGAGCTGCGGGCGGGGTGCTCTGGTTGGGGCTGCTGGCTGGTTGGGGAACTCATTGTTGGACAGGGCCAGAGAAGCACTTGGCTTCTCAGGATGTGGGTGCCAGGGCTCTGGCCCCTGCCCGGATAGCCCCCAGTGTGCCGCTCCCTTATGGCGAAACTGTAATTGTAATCACAACACTGTAAGCGAGTTCATGAGGCATTCCTTCTCTCAAGCCTGAACGGGAGTTTTAGAACCCTCAAGTGCACAGCCACTATGGACAGAAGCGTGGGAAGGCTGCGGCAGCCTGCTCGCTCACGGCTGGCGGATGAAGGGCAGTCTTGTAGGCTGGCTTCCCTTTGCATTCTGTGACTCCAGGTAGGGGTCAAAGGGAACTGGGGCACACCCAGATGGGGTGAAGCATTGGTGTCAGGAAGCAATGGGAGTCTGTGTGAGACAGGGAGGGTGAGGCTGAGTGTGTGAACGTGTGTGTGTGTGTGTGTGTGATAGTGCATGTATATGTACGTGTGTGTGTGTTCAAATAAGTCTATGAGTGTGTGTGTGTGTGTGTGTACGATAAGTGAATCTGGGATGCCCCCAGGACATCTTTGCTAGTCGTGGAAAAGAGGCCAGAGCAAGGACCAGCCACGCTCTGGAAAGGCCTCGCTGGCCTAAGCAAACTTTGACCCCTGAATCTGAGTCAGGGCTGGGGGTGGGAGGGAGCTGGTGTCCTGCTGAACTGAAAGCAAATGACAGGCTCCTTCTAGCTGGGACAGCGGACAGTGTGCCCTTTGCACCTACAGTTCACACGTCAGGGACATGTACCCAGGTCGTGGTTAAAGTCAGAAGCAGGCGAGCTGCGCCTGCCCATCTCGGACATGGCTGAGCTGGCTCAGGAAGCAAGGGTGGTCCTTGCCAGAGGGTGAGGCATGAGCCATTAGTGAGATGCCGCCAGTGATTTCCCCAACAAAATAAAAGAGAATCAAATAAAACAGAAGACCCTTGGTTTTCATAAGGGTGACGCTGTGTGTGTGTGTGTGTGTGTGTGTGTGTGTGTGCGCGCGCGCATGAGTGCGCACGCATGTGTATAAGAGACAGAGACAGAGAGAGACACAGAGACAGAGAAGAGGAGATTTCTACTTGGGGCCAGGGTCACACTGCAGCAGAGGTTTCGCTCCCCCTTTCTACTTTGTCCCCACTGCCAATCCACGGGGAACGCATACCTCCAGGTTGCCCGCCTGCTCTGGGCCCCCACTCTACACGCCCTGCAACAGTTTGGGCTCCCTGTGCTCAGACACGGACCTCGCTTTCACCCTCTATTGCTGGAGGGAGAGAAAGAAGACGAGAGCCCTGGGTGGGCACTTCCCAACAGACCATGGAGGGCATGTTCTTTTTTCTTTCCCTCTCTCTTTTCCTTTCTTCTTTCTTTGTGTCAGACACTGAACCTACAGCTTTGACATCGAACTACATCCTCAACCCTTTTTTAGTTTTTAGACACAAGGTCTTGCTAAGTTGCTAAGTTACCAAAGCTGGGCTTCAACTTTTGATCCTCCTGCCCCAGCCTCAGAGAATGCTGAGGTATGTGCCACCACACCCAGCTATCATTTACATTTCTTCTCAGCTTCCAGATGACCCTGAGCACCTACGTATCAGCTCTGTGACCCTGGGTGACTGTGTCCCTCAGCCAGCATCCTGATCCGTAAATGGGGGCAACAACACCTGGTGTCACCCAGCAGAAACAAAGACCAGAACAAGACTCTATTGGAAGAGGTCACAGGGAGAAGAACACCTGCCAGGGTGGCTCTGAGGACAGCTTTCCCCTCACCCTCACCCATGGCTGAGCCCCACTGTTTGGCCTCCCAGGCTTAGCTCCACCTGGAAATACCTGGCGTTTGTCTATCGCATGGGGTTAGTGTGAAAAAGAAATCCGTGAGATTTCCTTGAGGCAGAAGTTGGGAAGACACCACTTACAGGTGAAGGGCAGGAGGAGGAGCAAAGGTGACACAATAAGCAGAAGACAACAGCTCAGTGACAGGCTGGAGCCGGAAGTTGGAACACTCTGTGCCAACATTTGGTGGCACTCAAGTCTGGCTCTACCTGTGGGGCAGATCCCTAACTACTCTCTTTGGTAGAAGTAGACCCAGGGAGCAGGGAGGTCCAAGGAACCCAAGGCCACACCATGAGCAGCACAGAAGCATAACACATGCCAGGAGTCAGCCACCACCATGCCACATAGCCTGTCACTTGA